CCCCCTATAACACTGTTGATAATTCCGTTTTATATGAATTCCATGTTGTACGAGTCACTTAGATTTTACAAATACGTGTGCCGGGCTGTGAACGATTCACGTATTTGTAAAATCTAAGTGACTCGTACAACATGGAATTCATATAAAACGAAATAATCAACAGTGTTATAGGGGGTCGACTGTAAATAAATCCTGCTCTGCCTAACCTACACTTAAATGTTTCTATAAAAATGAATGGACACAGTTAAATTTAGCTAATTAATGGCATAAGCTGTGTCTAAACATACGTGAAAAGATGAAATGACCCTTTCAACTTAAATTTAAAAAAAATCTATTCAGAAACAAGTTGTATAACTTTCTCGGCAAAAAAAGTTAAAAATTGTGTGTCCCCACCTGTTATGGTATTATATTTAAAAACATTTTATATTACTAGTTATTATAAGATGAAAAAAATTTAATTTTGAGGATAGAGATAAATTTTACAAAATATCCTAAATGCTAATAACGAGTTAAATCTTGAGTTACGACACACAACACCCTTATATCTCCCCACCCTCTTGACCTTTAACCACCAAAATTTAATAGCATTAACGTCTCTAATGCTCAAACATCTTAGCAAAATTTCATAAATTTTCGACCAAAGGTACAGGAGTTATTAAGCTTTAAATTGGGTACATACAGGAAAAAATTTCTTGACGTTTCAATGTTGCCTGGGTCCAAAAATGCAAAAATTTTGTACGTAATAATTTCGACGAATTGCCATACTTTCCCTCTGTTATGTATAACAGCCGGGAAAGTAGTAAATATTCTTAAGGGAGAGAGAATAAATTAAAAAAACTTCAAAGGGATGCGAGTATTGATAAAGGTAAACAGGAGCTTTGTATATTACACACTTTTCAATACAGAATATATTATAGTTTATTTTTATCTTTACTTTTCCGAAAGCTTATTTAAGCAATAAAAAATAAATATAAATATGAAGAGGTTTTAAGAAATTGCCTTTTAAAATATTCTAGCTTAAAGCACATTTATACATTATAAAAGCGTTGTATATAAGTTACTGGATATTTATTTTCTATTCTAAAATATTTTAAATGTTATTTTTAGAATATTTACATTTGAATAAAGAAAATAGAAAGAAAATATTAACATTTAAAAAAAAAAAAATTTTAAAGTAGAAAATATTTTTTATGAGCTTATAAAGTTTTAAATAAGAAAATAATAGAAGAAATTTTCAACTCGTAGAAATCAATAGAAAAAAAATTGTCAAAATCATTTATTTTAAATGAATCTCCATTGAAAGTATGTAGATGTACACAGTACATACTACTTTATATAGAATGATAATGAAGGAATTTAAATTTTTCAAATATTTTTATATTTTTCTGATAAAATTTTCGTTTAAAAAGTTAGATTTTTTAAAAAGATTTTTATAATAAAATTATATTAAAAGTATAATTGTAATTTTAATACGTTTGTGTAATTAAAATGACATTGTAACAATGCAGGGCTGCAATTTTTAATTATATTTTTAATCATATATGCTCTCGATTTTAGTACTGTCCTGCCCCTGTACATCATACTTTTCCTGATAACAAAAGAGTCATGCGGTTATGTATCTGACTCCGTTCTCGAGATTAAGGAAGAAGAGACAGACAGGCGGACGAATAAATAAATGTTCTTAAAAGTGGTGACTCTTAGATTTAAAAAGAAAATATTAGCCTGTTGATTTAATTATATATAAAACGCTTATTTTAAAGTAAAAGGGTGTTAATTTTTACACATGACTGGAAATTTTGTTTGTTAAATCTAGCTTTTATTAAAAATTTCTAAGATTTTTTTATAGTTTTAATGTGTTTAGATTTCCCAAGTAGCTATAGTATCATACTATATCGAACATTTAACCTAATATTATTGTATATATAGTTTTTACCTTTTGTAATTTACTATATAATAATTGAAAAGTTAGGTAGATTTATATGGTTGATTTTATATACAAGGTAATCCAAAAGTCAGTTGACTAAATTAAAATACCCATAGTGAAATATTTAGCCGTCCAAATACAATTTAATTTAGTGTGGTGACACTAGGACACTAAGAAGATATCTCCGTAAAAGGAATTATACCGAAACTCGCCACTTTGGCATTTTTGGCTCTGTAAGCAACAAACATCTCGTGTCTTAGTGATGCAAGAATTAATGCTCGATGGAGATTCACATTCTGAAGGTGAAAAAGTTGAAGTTGATAAACAATGTCTTCATGGGCCGACCGTAATAGATCTTCTGTGTCGATCCTCAAGCACAGTGTGGCACTGTCTTTCAAAGCTGCCAAGTTTGCAACACGTCTTCGATAAACTACATTTCTTTAATATTTTCCACAAATGAAATTGTTTTTCCGTGCTTACAACGCCATAAATGCCACAACGGAGAGTTTTGGTACTAATATTTTTTTTTTAGAAGTATCTTTTGCACATCCTGAAATCTTACTAAATTCAGTAAATATCTCTTTAGACAGCGTTGAGTAGGGGGTGGTATTTTAAGGATATTTCAATTTAATCACTCTTAATAAAGCAATTGAATCATAAAATATCTTATATATCGGTTAATCAACTTTTGGGCCACACTGTACTTTTATATACAGTAACACCTGCGTAAAACGGAATCTCACGATACCGAATACTTTTCCGTTTAATCAGGTTTCCGTTTTATACAGATTCCGTTTACTGATGTTCCTGGTATATATAGATTCCGTATTAGACAGGTTTTACTGTACATATATTTATAAGCTTAAATTATCCTTCATTTGATACTTTAAAGTTGTTACACTTTCAATTATTGTACTTTTCAAATATTAATGAAATTAATAATTACGTGTCTTATTAATAAGTACAGTAAAACCTGTTTAAAGCGGAATCTGAATAAAACGTAAACCTGTCTAAACATAAAAAGTTCTTCGAAACGAAGCGAATTCTCTACGTTAAAAACACACCTGTTCAAAACGGAAACTTGCCTAATCGAAAAAAATAATTATTCAATAACGTGCGATTCCGGCTTACACAGGTTTTACCATATTTTAGAGGTTTATATTTTATAAATTTATTAAAATTTTAATTCGTTTATTTTTATTAGGATTTTGAAGTGGATTTGTATCTTCGACAAACGTGGACCGATAATCGGATGAGAAGCCCTAATTTAACGAGGCCCTTAGATTTAAATGATCCAAATTTAGTTAAGAAAGTATGGAGGCCTGATGTATATTTTCCAAATGCTAAATATGGAGAATTTCAATATGTTACGGTACCAAATGTATTAGTTCGAATCAATCCAGATGGGAAAATCTTGTATATGTTAAGGTGCACATTATCATTTCTTTTTCCTATAAGAATTCTAAGCTTAAAATAAATTATAACTTAATTAATTTTAATAAATTTAAAAAAAAATGAATTTATTATATTACTAANTGTTGTACGAGTCACTTAGATTTTACAAATACGTGAGCCGGGCCGGTGAACGATTCACGTATTTGTAAAATCTAAGTGACTCGTACAACATGGAATTCATATAAAACGAAATAATCAACAGTGTTATAGGGGGTCGACTGTAAATAAATCCTGCTCTGCCTAACCTACACTTAAATGTTTCTATAAAAATGAATGGACACAGTTAAATTTAGCTAATTAATGGCATAAGCTGTGTCTAAACATACGTGAAAAGATGAAATGACCCTTTCAACTTAAATTTAAAAAAAATCTATTCAGAAACAAGTTGTATAACTTTCTCGGCAAAAAAAGTTAAAAATTGTGTGTCCCCACCTGTTATGGTATTATATTTAAAAACATTTTATATTACTAGTTATTATAAGATGAAAAAAATTTAATTTTGAGGATAGAGATAAATTTTACAAAATATCCTAAATGCTAATAACGAGTTAAATCTTGAGTTACGACACACAACACCCTTATATCTCCCCACCCTCTTGACCTTTAACCACCAAAATTTAATAGCATTAACGTCTCTAATGCTCAAACATCTTAGCAAAATTTCATAAATTTTCGACCAAAGGTACAGGAGTTATTAAGCTTTAAATTGGGTACATACAGGAAAAAATTTCTTGACGTTTCAATGTTGCCTGGGTCCAAAAATGCAAAAATTTTGTACGTAATAATTTCGACGAATTGCCATACTTTCCCTCTGTTATGTATAACAGCCGGGAAAGTAGTAAATATTCTTAAGGGAGAGAGAATAAATTAAAAAAACTTCAAAGGGATGCGAGTATTGATAAAGGTAAACAGGAGCTTTGTATATTACACACTTTTCAATACAGAATATATTATAGTTTATTTTTATCTTTACTTTTCCGAAAGCTTATTTAAGCAATAAAAAATAAATATAAATATGAAGAGGTTTTAAGAAATTGCCTTTTAAAATATTCTAGCTTAAAGCACATTTATACATTATAAAAGCGTTGTATATAAGTTACTGGATATTTATTTTCTATTCTAAAATATTTTAAATGTTATTTTTAGAATATTTACATTTGAATAAAGAAAATAGAAAGAAAATATTAACATTCTTTTAAAAAAAAATTTTAAAGTAGAAAATATTTTTTATGAGCTTATAAAGTTTTAAATAAGAAAATAATAGAAGAAATTTTCAACTCGTAGAAATCAATAGAAAAAAAAATTGTCAAAATCATTTATTTTAAATGAATCTCCATTGAAAGTATGTAGATGTACACAGTACATACTACTTTATATAGAATGATAATGAAGGAATTTAAATTTTTCAAATATTTTTATATTTTTCTGATAAAATTTTCGTTTAAAAAGTTAGATTTTTTAAAAAGATTTTTATAATAAAATTATATTAAAAGTATAATTGTAATTTTAATACGTTTGTGTAATTAAAATGACATTGTAACAATGCAGGGCTGCAATTTTTAATTATATTTTTAATCATATATGCTCTCGATTTTAGTACTGTCCTGCCCCTGTACATCATACTTTTCCTGATAACAAAAGAGTCATGCGGTTATGTATCTGACTCCGTTCTCGAGATTAAGGTAGAAGAGACAGACAGGCGGACGAATAAATAAATGTTCTTAAAAGTGGTGACTCTTAGATTTAAAAAGAAAATATTAGCCTGTTGATTTAATTATATATAAAACGCTTATTTTAAAGTAAAAGGGTGTTAATTTTTACACATGACTGGAAATTTTGTTTGTTAAATCTAGCTTTTATTAAAAATTTCTAAGATTTTTTTATAGTTTTAATGTGTTTAGATTTCCCAAGTAGCTATAGTATCATACTATATCGAACATTTAACCTAATATTATTGTATATATAGTTTTTACCTTTTGTAATTTACTATATAATAATTGAAAAGTTAGGTAGATTTATATGGTTGATTTTATATACAAGGTAATCCAAAAGTCAGTTGACTAAATTAAAATACCCATAGTGAAATATTTAGCCGTCCAAATACAATTTAATTTAGTGTGGTGACACTAGGACACTAAGAAGATATCTCCGTAAAAGGAATTATACCGAAACTCGCCACTTTGGCATTTTTGGCTCTGTAAGCAACAAACATCTCGTGTCTTAGTGATGCAAGAATTAATGCTCGATGGAGATTCACATTCTGAAGGTGAAAAAGTTGAAGTTGATAAACAATGTCTTCATGGGCCGACCGTAATAGATCTTCTGTGTCGATCCTCAAGCACAGTGTGGCACTGTCTTTCAAAGCTGCCAAGTTTGCAACACGTCTTCGATAAACTACATTTATTTAATAGTTTCCACAGATGAAATTGTTTTTCCGTGCTTATAACGCCATAAATGCCACAACGGAGAGTTTTGGTACTAATTTTTTTTTATAGAAGTGGCTTTTGCACATCCTGAAATCTTACTAAATTCAGTAAATATCTCTTTAGACAGCGTTGAGTAGGGGGTGGTATTTTAAGGATATTTCAATTTAATCACTCTTAATAAAGCAATTGAATCATAAAATATCTTATATATCGGTTAATCAACTTTTGGGCCACACTGTACTTTTATATACAGTAACACCTGCGTAAAACGGAATCTCACGATACCGAATACTTTTCCGTTTAATCAGGTTTCCGTTTTATACAGATTTCGTTTACTGATGTTCCTGGTATATATAGATTCCGTATTAGACAGGTTTTACTGTACATATATTTATAAGCTTAAATTATCCTTCATTTGATACTTTAAAGTTGTTACACTTTCAATTATTGTACTTTTCAAATATTAATGAAATTAATAATTACGTGTCTTATTAATAAGTACAGTAAAACCTGTTTAAAGCGGAATCTGAATAAAACGTAAACCTGTCTAAACATAAAAAGTTCTTCGAAACGAAGCGAATTCTCTACGTTAAAAACACACCTGTTCAAAACGGAAACTTGCCTAATCGAAAAAAATAATTATTCAATAACGTGCGATTCCGGCTTACACAGGTTTTACCATATTTTAGAGGTTTATATTTTATAAATTTATTAAAATTTTAATTCGTTTATTTTTATTAGGATTTTGAAGTGGATTTGTATCTTCGACAAACGTGGACCGATAATCGGATGAGAAGCCCTAATTTAACGAGGCCCTTAGATTTAAATGATCCAAATTTAGTTAAGAAAGTATGGAGGCCTGATGTATATTTTCCAAATGCTAAATATGGAGAATTTCAATATGTTACGGTACCAAATGTATTAGTTCGAATCAATCCAGATGGGAAAATCTTGTATATGTTAAGGTGCACATTATCATTTCTTTTTCCTATAAGAATTCTAAGCTTAAAATAAATTATAACTTAATTAATTTTAATAAATTTAAAAAAAAATGAATTTATTATATTACTAAACAGATAAATTTTATATTAATTATGGAATTTGAGTTATTATTCGTTGCCATTTAATATTCCATTAAACCATTACTACTCTAATTAATTAGCATTTATAAAATGAATGATATTATATATAATAATTATAAATATAGAATTTAACAGATATTAATGCACATAACAATATATATCATTTTGATTTTACATAATTATATCGAATTTAACATAACAAGTTCTGATTAATTAGTCATTAACACTTAACTAAATTATCTGTTTACTCAAAGATACAACATGATATGTGCAAGTAATTAATAATTTTATATATTTAATTTAATTTTTAAATTATAAAAAGTGCAGTTTTTTTTATTGTTCTTGATACTGAACTCGAAATCCAATACTAGTTACAAACTTGGGCTTTGTATAGTAGAAAAATCATGACGTATAAGGCTTTACGTTATACAGGATGAGACAAAAATCTCTATACTAAACATAGGTTATCTAAAGAAATGTATTAAAAATCCAATACTAATTACTAATCTAGCTTTGTGTAATATAAAAACAGGCGATAAAGCTCTACGTTATACAGGGTGAAGCAAAAATCTCTCTCCTAAAGAGTTGTACCAAGTAATTTATGTGTACTCATAACATATGTTTTTATGTGAATTAATCAAACTGTCACCCATACAGACCATATGTTAATTAGAAGTGACTGTATAATGAATTCCTTGTCTTTTTTCTGTGTAAATTTATATAAAAGGGATTTGGCACAATGTAAACTTGACACTGATTTAGAATATTAAAATATTTAGTCTAATTCTACTTAATTAGATATTAAAATTGACAAAGAAAATTATAATTATAAATTATTAATACTTAATACAAATATGAAGGCGCGTATTTCTAAATTCTATTTTAAAAAGTGTTGTTTAATAAGTTGCGAAGTATTCCATTTTACCAAACAGGTATGATAAAATGGTACAGGCTGTACTGTACCTCTAATTTTAAATAAGATAATATGTCTATAAACCAGTAACAGGATATCATGATAAAACGAAGTATCAATTCTATCAAACCCATGGAAACTGGCAGCTAATTTGAAAATCTTTGCAAAATTAAAACATTAGACATGACACATCAATTGGATAAGAAAAGATAGCTTAACACAATACTTAATTTGATAGTTACTTTCCAAATCTTACTATTTGTTGGTGATCTGAACGAGTACAAAAAATATAAGTCCACAAAATTTTAAAAAATCAATAGAAAAATGAAACAAATAGTCATTATAAGTTGAAACAATGCAAATAACTAGGAAAGATAATGCACGTCATAGTAAAGTCCTTAAAACGGTAGGTAAAGGCATTTATTGAGCTAAATCCCTAGCTGAGATAACTAAGCCCTCTCACCTTAGTCATTAGTGCCCATATGCATTATATAGAGATTATAATATATATTTTCGCTATTATCATGTAAACTTAGGCTACTGTTTCTTATTTTCATACTTAAACCGTAAATAATAGGCAATGTGCTAACTGGAAGAAAATGCCAATCACGATTTTTTAGTTTGCTCTTCTAGCTCCCAATAATTTGTTTTTGATTATGGAACCGTATTCAAGTTGGATAGAGAGTACCCTAATTTATCAAACCAATCTGAACTCCTTTCTAAAGAATTAACTATACTTACACAAGTAATTTCAATAATACGTATTACATTCATTGCACAAAGCATAATCAGTACAATATGTAACTTATGTACAGTATATTCTTAATGTAATGCATTCATCAAAGCAATGGAAGGCTGTTACACTGATCTATCCTTAAATATGGTTATATCCTTAATTTAAACAAGCGTAAATTAAGAATTTACTGTATTTATAAGTGTATTCATTGCCACTTTACGAGGGCAACGTTATCTAGAAGGACAATATATCGAAATTTTAACAATAAGTATGTTATGTTAAAAGTATTTTTGAAGTTGTATACATGTTTTTAAAATCGTGAATAACATTATTCAACGAATTTCTCTCATCATAAACACTCGGATGATGTCATAAATAACGTCACTAAGCAAACACAAATTATATTGGTTCTAGTTTTATTAATATTAAATTCGTAAATATATATGTATATTTTTAATCAAATAAACTATTTATAAATTCTTCTAAATATAATTAATTAATTAAATTTAATTTCTTTTAAATTCTTAGATCTATCTTCGACAAACGTGGACCGATAATCGGATGAGAAGCCCTAATTTAACGAGGCCCTTAGATTTAAATGATCCAAATTTAGTTAAGAAAGTATGGAGGCCTGATGTATATTTTCCAAATGCTAAATATGGAGAATTTCAATATGTTACGGTACCAAATGTATTAGTTCGAATCAATCCAGATGGGAAAATCTTGTATATGTTAAGGTGCACATTATCATTTCTTTTTCCTATAAGAATTCTAAGCTTAAAATAAATTATAACTTAATTAATTTTAATAAATTTAAAAAAAAATGAATTTATTATATTACTAAACAGATAAATTTTATATTAATTATGGAATTTGAGTTATTATTCGTTGCCATTTAATATTCCATTAAACCATTACTACTCTAATTAATTAGCATTTATAAAATGAATGATATTATATATAATAATTATAAATATAGAATTTAACAGATATTAATGCACATAACAATATATATCATTTTGATTTTACNTAATTATAAATTAGTTATCTCTCCCTACTTCCAGCTAATCATATCTACATATGTTAAGTTATAATTCCCAGTTATTAAATAAATAAATGTTTGATTCAGTTAATTGGTATTCAGATAATATGTTATTGTATTAATAATTCGTAAGAATTACTTCTCTGATATCTGCAAGATATCATTATTATGATATCCCTTGAATTTGATACATACATACTGTATACTAGTGAGGCCCTACACGTACTGGTATACCGATACATGTAGGTCCTCACATTATTTTTTGCATGTAACACTACTTGGTGAAGGAAAAGGCCTTTTATATGTTATAAATTAAAGCCACATGTCTTAAGTCCAGCTTGCCCATTGCATGTTTAAAACCTCCCTTAATTTCCATAGAAATATACTATAATCACAACAAATGAAAATTGTTAATTTATCAAACACACACGTTAGAAATGATGATAACGAAGAGCATAACTGTAGAGTTTATACTTTATCCTGGAGATTTAAATTATTTAGATTTTATTTCGCAATAAATTAATTATACTTCATGACAGATTAAGCTTTAGTTATTGACATTTTCATAAGATTAAAGTATGGAAGAAAGTGTATTGATGTGAAACTAATGTAAGAGAAAATTTGTAAACTTTCAGAAAAGTTACTTCATTGTTTACACTATAAATGGATAAATATTATTAAATTAACAATTTCCATAATCATCTTAAAAGATATAAAATAATTAATATATAATACTTAGAAAATCGTATTTATTTATTAGAAGATTTCATTAAAAATGGGATTATCTTCATTATTTAGTATCTTGTTTAAAAACAAATTTTAATTTATTCTTAAAAATTATTGAATTAATCTTTGGAAAATATCATCCAGGATTTTTAAGCAGTAAAATCAATTAAAATCAATAATATAAAATATATTTTACTTTTAAAAAAATAGCAAGAGATCTTACTCGACTTTCTTGGCACTCGAACAGGAGGAAAAGTGGACCAGGAATGTCTTAATTTGTGGAGTAGAGATGTTTATAAAAATATTGTAAATGCCAATAACGAGTAAAATTTTCATTAACTCCGATCACACTCCAGATATGACATATGTCCCCCTTCTATTTCCTTCACTCTCTTGGAGTTCCTTACTCCAAAATTTAATAGCATCAATACCAATTATATACAAGTTATAATGACAAATTTCGTTTCTTAATCTTTACCCCATCTTGAGATATTAAATGAAATAGAGTAATAGACACCCAACATTATAGTTTCTTGAGATCCTGGTAAATTTGAATTATGGGGTCTATTGTACAATATTGACTTCAGACAACTAAAGGCCTTTTTGAATTATAGGCCTTAACAAAGCTTATTACCTAAAAAAAATCTTAATTAAAGTTTATTAATTTTTAATTATTATCTTAAATTACATTTTTAAAATATTAAATCTTAATTTTAATACTAGAGACATTTTGTAGCATACACACAAATCTCATACGGAAATTTTTATTTTTTTAATGAGAATTTCTAAGAAACCTTTCTGTAATTCGATTACAGTAGAAGTTATTATGTAAATTATATAATAAGTTTAATCAGTGATGCGATAATGAAAGTCTCTTTACTCGAGTACAAAACAACGTAATGGATATTTCATTGTAGCATGTAAGAAAAATAAAGTTACCTAAGGAAATTACATTATATATAAAATTATCAAAGAGACTTTCTTAATAAATAAATAAGAAAGTAAAATTTATAATATAAAGTACTTTATTATTATTATTATTTTTTAATATCTGATAGGTGAATACAGTTGCCTTCGAGCAGAATTTGATCTGAAGCGTTCAATTGGTCATCACTTAGTACAAAGTTACTTGCCTACAATACTTATTGTAGTCATCTCCTGGGTATCATTTTGGTTAGATGTCGACGCAATACCAGCAAGGATAACTCTGGGAGTTACAACTTTACTTACAATTTCATCAGAAAGTAGCGATCAGCAAGCTAATCTCGCTCCTGTATCGTATGTTAAAGCTTTAGATGTTTGGATGGGGACGTGTACGATGTTTGTGTTTGCTGCTCTCCTAGAATTTACTTTTGTAAATTATTTAGCGAGGAAAAAGATACCAGGACAGCAAACTACAACAACTGATAATAACGATAAAAAAAATGTAGTAGTGCTAATGGTAAGTTAAGCTAAGGACATAAACTTTTATGAGATCCTTTTCTACAAATTATCACATATCTTTAGTGTTAAATAATATCTTTTATTGTTTCTTGTTTATTTAAAAATACATTGTTAACTATTGAAGTTTTGAGGTTTTGTAGACTATATTAAAAAATAGCTTTTATGTAAATAAATTGTTTAAAAAATTCACAAAAAATAGAAAAAAACACTAAAATCTGTCACACACATACGTACGGCAGTTCGACCTGAGGCTCTCGTTCACCTTTACATGTAAAACATCTTAAAAATATATTTAAAAAATATTTTTTTAATAATTATTCTACACTCAAAGGTGAATTTTAACGTGTTTTATATGTAAAACAAGATGAGAGCTTCACTGCAAGACAATGTTCTCAGGTGTAGATTTTTGGACTGCAATTTTTAAATTGCAGATCTATACATTTCTATTATCATCTGTCTGTCTGTCTGTCCTTCGTAAATCTCAATAACAGAGTTAGATAGATGATCGGCATGACTCGACTGTTCTCAGAAGGCGTATAATGTACAGAAGACACTGTTAAAATCGAAGGCATATGTGGTAAATCGAAGACCCCGATTTACTGTACACAAACTTCCGGTCTGGACCGGAAGTGACGTGATTTTCTTCTAACTTAAAAGATGATTAAAAGCTGCAGCCTGGAATTGTGACGACGTCACGATAAATAATTGCGCGTAGTGTTTGTTTTTTTTTTAATTTTTAGTAAATTGTTTTAAATTATACACATCAACCAATTTCTTTTTATCAATATAAATAAATAAATTTTATATATTAATTAAATTCTTTCAGACTCCAAAATCCAGTGATGCTCAAGCAAGTATCAAGGATACAGAACTTCCTTTATTAACATCATCAATGTTCACACCAAGAGCTAAAGCTAAGAAAATTGATCAGATAAGTCGAGTTGCCTTCCCGATAGGTTTTGTCGTCTTCAATGCCCTGTACTGGCCATATTATCTGACATAATAATTGTTTTGACCAGTTTATTACCTTATATCATGTACCCAACTAATTAAGAAGAGTTCTTCCGGGAAAATTATTACGAGCTTAACAATTTATTATCAATTTTACTCTAAGGATCTAATAACAAAATTAAGATAGAAAAAAAAAAAAACACTCGAGAACTCGTAAGAATGTAAATAAATTATTACTTATTTACTCTTAAAAAGATTACATTAAAAAATCATCGATTAATTAAGTAAATTAGCGAATTTTGATGTAAAAAAATTAATTTATATATGTAATTATTTATTTTAAATGTTATAACTTTAAAAAAATATATTATATAAAAATATATTTATATGTAGTTATAAGCAGTTTAATGTTGTTAAATATTATAATATATTAAATTAATGTTATAAGTTGAAAACATTAATAGATAGATTATATTAATAGATAGATTATAGCCTACATATACATACACACAGTCAAACCTCGTTATAACGCTACCATTTGTTCGATTTTGAAACTAGCACTAAATCTTGTGTGGTGCTAAACCTAGTGATTCCCAAAATGGGCGCTAAATCACCTTGAAGATAGTAAAAGATTTAAGGGGAAATGGAAGGCAGAAGCAGAAGGGGTGTTGTAAGATGGGGGCATAAATATATAAGAAGTATATGCACTAAAAGGGGGGACGGTAGCCCGAAAAGTTGGGCTAAATCGAAGAATCTGAAACACTGAGAATTATTAGGTCTAAATGCAAGTTTTGAGATTCGGGTGTCAAAAATCACGTTATTTGATGGTGATGCCATTTGAGTATACTACTGTTTAATAATCATAAGAAAGATCCGTTCACTGAGCTGTTATATAGGAAAGCGTTATATCGAGGTATGACTGTATTTCAAGCATTATAAAATTAATTTTATAAATTCTGAGAGAAACGGAACAAACAATACACACTAACACCAGAAACCAGCAAATAGTTTGCTGGTTTCTGGTTTAAGGGTGCGACTATGCAGACGCGAATTTAGAGCGAGCGAGAGGTTGCGAGCAATTTAGTTTTCGCAAAGGAAAACCATATACAAACGAGAAGCGAGAAATAACACTGGCGAGAGCAAATTTCTGGTTCTTGCACATATCTGACAGGTTTTGATATTTATCGCTTCTCGCCTCTTCTCACCACATATTCTCGCTCGCTTGGAAAATTCGCTCGCGTCTGCATAGTCGCACCCTAAGTNTCCGAAAATAAATTTTTTTTTAATACTTATGGTTCTCAAAATTCTCTCTAGATGGCGTTAATGATTATTGAATCTTATAAACAAATGAAAAATGGCGGTCGAAAGCGTGCTTACGTTAGACGAAGGCCTATCACAAGTCTTCCTGTAATAATAAGGCCTTTGTATAAATAACGCTAAGTATGAATAGGCTGTAAATTAGGGCCTCATTTCGAATTTATTATTTGATAAAAGAGTATTTATTACATGTACTGTATAGCTTAGGGATATACTAAATACTAAATATGTGGCAAGATGCCAGACCTAGGGCCTGCCAGAAGGCTTCTGAAATATTAGTATTATAATCTCTCACTTAAATCTTCATACATTTTGATATTTTAATATTTATATTGATCTAATTTATGTATAAATAACATGAAAAAGTTTTATGTAGCAGATTTATTGTTAAGGTTTATGATCGTATCGCGTGGCATTTTGTTGCGATTTTACGCTATAAAATCGCATTGTTTTATGATTTTTCTCTCTAAAATTGTTGTTGTTTTTTTTATGATCTCATAATGCGATTGAGGTATTAAATTTTTAAAATTTAATTTTCAATTATGTAATATGAAAATATCGAATTAATGTTATTTCGTTTGGATTTTTTTTCATAATAACGATGTCATTGACAGAGAGGGGAATCAGTAAAACTATTTGATTCGGGCCTGGATATAGAAAGATCCCAAAATTTAATTTTATTTGATATAGAGAATATTAAGTTTCTTTAATAAAAGGTAAAAAGTCTATTTTTATATGCTTAATTAATTTAATTCATAGGTCTTTATGACTTTTAAGTGGAGTTTTTCTCTTTCAGCTGCCGAATAAATGTGAGTAGATCCTCACTAGATCCATTCTTTATCAGTTTGTTTTTCTACAAAGATAGGAATAAACATACAATACTCGTTCAGAAATTACAGTAGTAAATCATACTTTTCCTCTCTAATAACAGAGGGGAAATACGGCAATCGGTCAAAAAAACGACCCCCAAAATATTTATTTTTTGACTCAGGAACCTTGAAACGTCGAGAAATGCAAACTGTAAGTTGGGGTTTTTTCCTGTATATATGTATAGTACAGTACCTCACACACATTACCATGTGTATGTAGGGGGTATGATTTCACTCGTCTAGTTTGAAGCTTAATAACTCCTGTGTCTGTTGTAGTAAATTTTTGAAATTTTGCAGGACGATTTGTGTATTAAGAAGCAATATTCCTAGTAATTTTCAGATAAATCAGACCATTAGTTCATAAGATACGGCTCTACCCCCTATATAATATTCGAACCAATATGAAGAGTTAAAGGTAATTGTAGCAATTATTACAGATGAAAACAAATAAAGCATGCAACAAGCTAGAAAAAAGTAGTTTATAAAGAAATAAAAAAAATATATATATACAGTGGTACCTCAGGATACGAACGCCCCAGCATACGAAATTTTCAGGATACGACATGAAATTCGAACATATTTTTGCTTCACGATACGAACAAAAACTCACCATACGACGTTACATTAGTTCGCATTTTTCATTTGTTTTCCTTACTACAGTTATTTTTTTAAATGTATTACTTGGCTTTAATTTGAGTATGTTTTTCGCGTTGGAACGAATTATTTGGTTTTACATGTAATCGTATGGGAAAAGTTGATTCATCTTACGATATTTTCATGATACGATCTCAGTTTCGGAACGGATTAATTTCGTATCCTGAGGTACCACTGTATTTCCTTTTCTTTTATTAAAATTTCAATATGATAATCCCTTAATGATTGAATTTTATTTTATCCTATCCCTTCTACGCTCGTAAATTTTACTCCTTTCTGTTTGCTGAAATTCCACTTTAAAAAAGCTATTTTTGTAAAAAGTTTTTATGACTTATGCATCATAAATTCTTAAGTTATCAACGAACATTTTATCCCTTTGTGTATTAAATAAATGTTTCTTATCATGCTTTTATGGCTTATATATTTAAATCTTAAATCAATTATCAACAGGGACATTTTTATAACACAAATATCGAATTATTGTGACAGCGTACAATACCAGGATGCAATTATTAATCATATTTTAATTTTTAAAAAATCACTTTCGGTCTAGATCAGAAGTTCGTATATTATAGTTTCGATTTTCATGTATTAAATTCCATAATTAAGGACGGACGGACGGACGGACAGACGGACAAGATAACAGTGAAACTTTACAAGTCTGCAATTTGATAATTGCAGACTTGTAAATTATGATTTATAAATTATATAAATGTAATAATATTTATTAACTTTATCAAGTTATTATCATGATAACAGGAAGATAAACTAATCTTTTAACATGAAATTATAGGATTGAATTTATTAATTTAATGAGATATATTCAGTAAACCAATCAAAGTATGCCTTTCAGATATCTTGATATATTTTCTACTGATTGCTGTTGATCAGGATAATAAATCTCATTTATACCTTCGCAATTGAATGGCCCTGAGGGACGATATACCTTTAACGAGATAGAAAAACCCAACTCAACGAATGTCACTTTCTTCTTCTAATGTTTTGACATATTTTTTGATCGATATGGGATTTCATCAAACTTACAGTCAACAGATTAACTAAGAAATAAAAGGAATTTATGTCATTTCCGCCTTGGAGAAAAAATATATATTTGTGTGCGTGTTTTTAGTACTATATTCTCTTTAATCCTTTCAATAATTATGTGCACGATGACTATAATTAAAGAATGTATGTTGAAAAAAAGTACTTCAAAATTAAGCAGCTAGGGTGAGATTTGGCGCTGCTGTCTCTTATTCTGCATATTAAGTACGTTCTTTACAATAAATCCATCTAAATATAGAATAATGCGTTAAGCTGTGTTCAGAAAGGCTTTTAAGTTACTTTACGTTTGACCAATCAAAGATGGAGTTGTTTGTAACGCTTTCCTTCATTGGCCAGAAGTAACTTTATGTAACGTAAGAAGAGTCTGTCTGGACGTAGTCTTACTTGTTAAACTCTTTTATCAACAAAAGAGCAATACCAGCTCGGCACTTGAAAAATTTCTGTGCTTAAAAGGCTCGAAATTCGTTAGAAAACGTACGAAATACGCATATAAATAGAAACAACCACGCTAAATTTCGTCCTAGCGCCTGATTTTTGAAGTAAAGTTTCAACGGTAAACGAAACTTCATAATCAGGACCAAATTTTGTTAAAGTTTGGCCAATAGTTCATTCTAAAGATAGCTCTGAACACCTACTCTTTATGTGTATTATTATATAACACTTAACACCTGTATATCAATTAGAGAAATACCTTGTTAATAAGTTTCTGTTATCTGTATTTATCTTAATTTTTCGAATTATTTACGTTTCCCTTAATAAATTCGTTATATTTAAGTGGAAATTTTCGAATTATTTCATTAAAAAATATATTATTTAAAAATATCACAGTAAAAAAGAAAAACAAAATTCGAAGTTATGAGCATTTNGAAGGGCAGACAGATAGACAATGTAGCCGGTACGGCAAATTGGGCTGTGCAATTTGCCTTATCACCAGTCAATTGTATAATTGATAAAACATACGAATAAGTTTCTATTATCTGTATTTATCTTAATTTTTCGAATTATTTACGTTTCCCTTAATAAATTCGTTATATTTAAGTGGAAATTTTCGAATTATTTCATTAAAAAATATATTATTTAAAAATATCACAGTAAAAAAGAAAAACAAAATTCGAAGTTATGAGCATTTTACATTAATTAAAACTCATTTAATGTGCTTTAAATACTTACAACTATATACAGAAATGTGTATTATCTTGGTTATATTATTACATGTTTAGTAATAATGAATGATTGTAAGTTAGGAAAGCATAAACAAACTTATAAAGATAAATGCATTCTAAGGTTACTCGGCTATGAAAT